GTCAGATTGAAAAGATCGAACTACTACTACACTGTTACTATTCAAGTCGTCTGCTTTTACCTTCGATAGAAATTAATGTAAAGATTGATGGCAAGCGTAGTTCAATCTATATGAATTCTTCTCAAAACTAGATTCAGCCAATTGTTTTACACTTACGTTTTTTTTATGAATAAAAATGTAATTTCATTCAGTAGTGACGTATTGTCGCAAAATAAAAATCCCATTTATGTATGAGTTCTGAAATTTCTTTCTGCTAATTTCTATGTAACAGATATACGTTGAGTTACTTTAGATACTTGCAAAAAGTCAGCCCCATAGAGTTTTATTTTATTGAGTTATTAATTAGTAGAATGGCATAAAAAGGACAATAGTTTTCACTGCGTGCGTTGCCATTTACAAATACTACAATCTCGAAGAATATGTTTGAAAACTAAATCGTGTATTTTGTAGAACCTTTTTCACGCTACAAAATTTAGATGGAAAGTTTTTCAAAAAGTTGAGTTTATTCATTGTTGGTGACAGAAGTTAATAGGAATATAGAAACAAAAAAACTTCTTATAATGGAATAAGAACTTGAATAACCAATTCTAAATAGTAAAAACTCTTGTTCAGGGATTAATATAGGTTATGGTGTGGAGTCTATTCCTGAGTCAAGAAATGCAGACTGCTTCTAATGGTAAAACTCAGGAAATAATGGTAGTAATTCGGCAGTAAGAATTCGGTGACCAGTTACAACCAGAAGTAGAAAACTTCGATCATTAGATTTCTGCTTCGAAGTTTGTAACATTCTCCGAGTTTTCCGACCAGAAATTCACGTATCTGAACGTCTGAATTATTGATCTGGATTCTAAAATTCTTAGATTCTTCGTCATAACGTTAGAGTGTTATTCACTAATTACACTGTAATTAATTTTAATTAGGTATGAGCTTATATTTTTACCTATATTCATGGGAAGAGAACTTGTTCAAAAGAATGAACTCTAAAAAGAATTGAAGATGATCATGTCCTGTATTTCCAGATGTTGTTCGTATAATATATATTAAGAATCAATATAAACAATTTCATTATTTTAGAGTCATCATATTCGTGTTGCTGCTTTAACAGCATTATGTTCTGTTATTGAAAAACTTCTTTCATCTGATGAATTAGATGATGGACAAAAAAAAATGAGTGATGATCTTTTAAAAAAACTACGTGTAAGTTCATTTAATTTTTATTTCAATAGATAATTTTTTTGTTTTTTGCTTCAAACATTAAATTAGGAACAAGTACATGATGAAACACCATTTCTTCGTCAACATTATTTACAATTATGGACATCACTTATACAACAAAAAAAATGTCCTGTTAAACAATATCTTTCAGTATTTGAACTCGGACTTCATCGATTAAGAGATAAAGCTTGTGGAGTTCGAAAACATGCAGTAACACTTATTATGCATATGGTTCTTAATAATCCTTATTTTGTTATTGTAAGTTTATTGAGTGAAGATTATTATTAATGAGATATTTTCTTGTTTTAGGATTCAACTCGAGCTCAATTGGAAAAAGGAGAAAATGATGCTGAAACAAAATTAGTTGAACTTCGTCAAGAACTTGAAAAGTTAAATAAAAATAAAAAAGAAGATAAAAAAATGGAAGAAAAAAAGTCTCAATCGGATGATGAAGATAGTGGAGCAGAAGATAAAACTGTTGATGAAGATGATGAAATGAATGTCGATAATAATCAAGTAAATATTTAAATGAAAAAATTTTTTAATAAAAT